GTATGTATATAAAAACAATATATATATATGTGCTTCAAAAAATGTATATATATATATATATATATATATGTGTGTGTGTGTGTGTGTGTGTGTGTGTGTGTGTTACTTTAACTTAAGTATGCTTTTGGCTAAACGCAGTGATTTTTAATTGAGTAAAATTCTGACAAATGACAAAAAAAAAACATTATATATATATATATACATAGCTCTCAAAAAACAAAAAACAACAAATAACACAGCTCTCACTGTTCAGAGATCAGTCTTATCTCACTGTTTTGTGTCTTTGACCTTGAGTGAGAGCAGATAAAATTACTGTCCAGGTTTCTATTGCACAGCACATTAGATCCAAGCAAACAAGACATGAGGTTAAACATGCAAATTTATCATTATATCACATATGAAGCAATAAAAGCAGTGAAAGACTAACAGATCAACTGATACTTTCATTTCTCAGAGCCACTGAAGTTCATAAGAGGACAACAGGGTCAGTTACTACAGACTTCTGTTCATAAAAGCACAATTACAATAGAATCTCTCATTGAAAGCATACAGCGGTACAGTAGTATCGTGCAGGTGTTGTGCTGAGTGAGTGTCACCTGAACTCCGTGAAGGACCCTGACATTGTCCTGTTCATCCAGTCCGAACGACACCGATCTGCTCCTGCTGTCCGCGGCCCCCATCAGCCCGAAAACCACCCCGATACTCAACAACAAGAGGAATAAAATCACCCCGACTCACTTCAGGGTCACTGTGTCCCGCTACATGCGGATAAAATCATCAAACATCCTATTACGGGTTATCAGGCATCACGTGACCGCGAAAGGCACGATGGGAAATGTAGTTATATTCAAAGCACTGACGTCACATGGAGGTCGCGGGAGGAAAACATTTTAAAATATTCATTCATTCATTTTAATTGTTTGCTTGCTGTTTTACTTGCTTATTTGTATCTATTCCCTTTCACATTAGTCATAAACTTCATACAATTTATGTGCTTATATTGAAAGCGCTCCACAAAGCAACATTTTTTTTGTAGTGACATTTTATTCTTCAATGTTTTTTTATATAAATTATGAAAAATCGTTTTTTATTATTAAATGAATGAATGAAATGGTACACAAATAATAATTATAATAATGATAATAAATTTATTTTGCTCTTTTAATTTGCTCTTATTGTTTTTCATGTAAAATTAATGTTATTTTATCTATCTATTCATATTTTCTGTTTTTATTTCTTACAGTAAATTTTAACGACATACGTCTTTATTTCCTTCACACAGCAATGGTGTTAATATTCTGCAGAAATGGTGACTTGCAATAAAAATATCTTTAAGTTGAGAGCCTTGATGTGTTTTGTTTAATTATATACCCGTCTTGTATTTTTTTCATTATTATTATAATTATTTTTTATATTTTTGTATTTTAATCTCTCCCTTATTTGTTGACAATGTTCTCATTAAAAAAATAAAGCCATCACATGACACATGAAGCCTTTTCGAAATAAACACATATAAATGAAAGCACAAGTCACAGAATGGAAACAATGTATTTATCTAGAATGTTCAAATGTAAAACCGTTCTTTTAGTGATTACATGAAAATAAAAAAAGTGTAATTCAGAACTGCTGACGACTTCCTGCTTGTGAAAACCACACTGGAAGTGTGTTCCAAAATAAAAGTCCTCTGTTGTCCGCGTGACTCCAGACAGTGCTGGACTTCAGCTCAGTGTTCATCTGATCAAAATAAGCTTTATAACATTTAATCTACTGCTATAGACTGATAGAATAAATACCCTGATCTTAAACAAAGCATTTCAGGGAAGAAAAAACACAAAATATATTTGAGATATGCTTCTACTGACAGGCTACAAGATCAAAAAATGAAATAAACACGCAGAGCGAAGCATTGGTTATGAGCAAAATGACAATTTGCACTGAATTTCAGATTATATTACAACTCATTTCCAGTGGCGTTTCAGTGCAAAAATTAAAACTCCAAAAATTAATTAAGACTTAAAATCCACTGTTCATAAATCCATAGCAGATCATTCACACACATCTCTACATAGGTACAGTTTAATCATGAAACATCTTCTCTTCATGCTCAACTCATATTTAAAGAGCAATGAGAAATAAGCAATAAGAAACAAGCATTTTATTCAGGCCAAATTTAATTGAAGATTTTTTTTTCTTTTTCTGTGCAACAAAAGTTGTGTTGTAATTAACTTGTATTTTATCAAATAAAACAAATGATTTTTCCCAGTATGGTCCTTTTTTTTCCCACTTTCTCCCACATGGAATGATGTTATGACAAACCTGACTTGAGCCGTTTCCGTTTTCATTATCAATTACAAAGATGGACAAAGATCAAGCTCACAATATAAGCTTTCACTTTAAGAACTGAGCCCAAGTCTAAAATTCATCAGATAACTAAAATAAATAAAAATCCAAAGAAAACATTTTCAAAACTATGATATAGCACTGAGAAATAAATGCTTTTACAAATGTCTAGATGAACGCTCGGTCCACATGAAGCATATGAACACAGTCAAAGTAGATTTCAGGGTCCTTAAGCTTTCAAACTAGCAAGCAAATCAGTGCAAAATAAACACGAGCATCAAAATATGAGCAAACATTTCGCCGGTATCAGTAGCATAACTCAGAAACTAGTCTGAAATCACCTAGAGATGAGCTAACAGCGATCGATTATGGTTTCAGCAGAAATATATTGGATTACACACGTCACAAAGTCCAATAAACCTGCCCACGGTACAGCGCCGAGTACACAAATGTAGAATTAAGAGCACTGGTGTTTCACAAGGAATGTTGGATTCATGGAATAAAACTGAAATCAATCTTAACATATCCGTGTGACGCAGCTGACACAGAACAGCATACGCTGTTTACTTCCAGCTGATATTCTCCAAAAAGGCGCTACAGGGTGATGTGGAGGAGACGAATTGTTGAATAAAGTCTCTGGACTTGGGAACATTTCAGTTGCATTGCTGTCTATGCAGGGTCAGACAGCTCTCAGATTCCATCAAAAATATCTTAATTTGTGTTCCGAAGATGAACGGAGGTCTTACGGGTTTGGAACGACATGAGGGTGAGTAATTAATGACAGAGTTTTCATTTTTGGGTGAACTATCCCTTTAAATAACAGCACTGACTGTGAAAACTGTTCCCAAATCAAGGCAGTACATGACAGACTGAGCTCAAATGTTGGTCTGTGTTGAACAGCATGGTGCAGGTCAGTGTTAAAGCGTGTTCAGGCGTTGAGGGCCCTCCAGCGGTCGCTGTCGATGCTGTTGATGCTGTGTCCTCCGCTGAAGGGCCCCGACACCACGTCGTCCAGATACGCTCCGGAGCCGTCGATCTGCGTGCTGGAGTACGAGCCGTGATCCAGATCTTTCCGGCCCAGACCCGAGGACGAGGTGTTGGGCAGGTGAACGTCTGAGTCTTCCGGCTCATCGATTTGTGACTTGTAGGAGAAGAGGATTTTGGGCTCGGAACTGAAGGGAAATGAGGAGGATGTTAGAAGAAGACTGTCATCTTGAGCCTGAAGATCATATTAAAATAGTTTCATTTTGGACAGGACGTCATTCTTGCTGTTCTTATCATTGCATGCATTTTTAAACATACGCTACTGTTCAAAAGTTTGAGGTCAGTATGATTTTTTGAAATAAATTAATACTTTTATTCATCAAGGACGCATTAAATTGATCAAAGGTGACAGTAAAGACATTTATAATGTTACAAAAGATTTATATTTCTAATAAATGCTGTTCTTTTGAACTTTCTAGTCATCTGTGAATCCTGAAAAATAGAATGTATCACCGTTTCCACAAAAATATGAAGCAGCACAACTGTTTTCAACATTGATAATAATCAGAAATGTTTCTTGAGCAGCAGATCAGCATATTAGAATGATTTCTGAAGATCATGTGACACTCATGGGAGCACATAAAAAAAAAATTATGAGATAAAAGTCGAAATTATTAGAAAAAGTCATAATTGTGACATAAAACAAAATGACAAAAATGTACCTTTAGGTCATAATCATGGCTTTTTCTCTCATAATTATGACTTAGTATCTCATAATTTCAAAATTAGGACTTTTTATATCATAATTATGATTTCTCAATGTTTCTTTATGTGTCAGAAATGGGCCATTGACACTGAAGTTAAACTTAGTTCTACGAGATAAAATTACATAATTATGAGATTAAAAAAGGACAATTATGAGATGTCAAACTTATGATATAAAAAGTCTATATTTTTAGAAAAATTCACAATTATGACAAAAACAATTGTGACAATTTTGACTTTTTATGTCATAATTTTCACTTCTGTCATAATTAGGACTTTTTTTCTCAATATCGGCTTTTTATGTCAAAATAGCGACTTTTTATATTATGGCTCAGTATCTCATAATTTCAACTTTTTATGTCATAATTATGATTTTTTTTCTTACGAGGTGGAAATGAGCTTCCATAGACACTGATGACTGCAGTAATGATGCTAAATATATTCACATCTAAAGCAGTCATAAAAATTGTAAGGATATTTCACAAAATTTCTGTTTTTACTGTGTTTTTGATCACATAAATGTTGCCTTGGTTTTTTTGACCCAAAACATTTTGAATGGTAGAACATAATGGTAATCTTTTTTATGCTTTTAATGTTATTGAGGAGAAATTATGTATGTTAACTATGAATTATCGATATGCAAAAACCATATAATATTAGTGGCATCCAAATAAAGTGTATGTATCATTTTGTACAATATGTCTAAAACCACAATGACTGTCGGTGACATCTGTAATCGTGTTTTTAACAACTCTTTTTGTACATTTAGGCACCTCAATAAAGACTGCATAGGATTTGTTTTTCTTTTAAAAGGTTTGGAACAGGGAAATAACCACTTTTATCCTTTCTTGGTATCATAAGTGCTCTGATTTCACCACATCTTTGGATAATTTCTGTAAGATTCAGTTTAAAACTATCCAAACACAAAAGACATCCACAGACGTTCAACAGAAAGAGCACAAGCTTGTATGATAATGTGACGGCTGGCAACATGTCTTTAAAGTGGTGTTTAGTGCAGCCATATCATGGACAACAGCATTTCTCTTGCTCTTTTAAAATAAAAGAGTTTGATGTGAACTCAAAACTTCCCCAGTTCACGCTTGACTGCTTTTGGTGCCTGAATTAAAAATAAAGTCCAACAAAGGTGTAGAATATGGCATTTTGAGGAAGCTGAAAACCACAGCGGCTTGTTCATCTGCTCTGTGAGTTCAGTTACAGACACTCAGCTCCACATGCAGAACTACAGCAAGGTCGACTGACACGTCTGTAATATCCTGTGACAGAGTGAAGCATCTACAGCAGGTGGACCTACTTACCCAAAGAATCCTTTGAGGAACGTCACATAGATCAGAGGAGCAAAGACGGAGAAGTACAGGAATGTGGTCACATCCACACAGCTGCAAACACACAGAGGAGCAGATACAGCGTTTGAAACCACGCTGATGATCTGGCATCCATTTAAACTGGGACAGAAATCATTTTTAGCATTTTGAAGGTAAAACAAATAAATAGTATGATATAAAATGAAGACATATTTAAGTTTTTTTAAGTTAGTAAATATTCAGTATTTCTGTTGTTTTTGTAGTATTCTCAAATCATGGGAAAAACCAAAGAAATTGTCAAATTTATGTTCATTTCTCAATCTTTTCACTCAAAATTCATGCCGATAATATATCTATTAGAAATGCATTGATGTATCGGCCAATAATTGGTATTGTTGCGATTACCTGCACTATCGGCCAAAGACCAGGGCCGATTATTTCATGTCAATCAAAAGGGCCAGCCGTGTCAGTCCGCAACTTGTGTGAAGAAAATCTTTCTTGTGTTGTCCAAGTTAAAGCAATAATAACGCATTAACGCTGCGCCGTAAACACTGGGTTTATTTGACCCTATGGATCACCAATAGTTCAAGCCAGGGTTGCCAGATCCACGGGTTTCCCTTCACAAAACATTATTTGTAATGTGTCTCGCATACAATAATCGCAAAGAGCTTTGTGCTTTGTTACTTCTGATAAGAAACAAACTCTCAGCTCTCAAATTCACAAAATTCAAACAATAAATGCCGTTTTGATACTCTTAGATGTGTCGTGACAGATCACCAGAGCCACTTCAGTTCAAGCGGCAGCGCGAGTCTCTTTCACTTTAATACAAGTTATAGCACAAAATAAACATGAATGAACATACATATATATATATATATATATATATGTATGTACGAATAAATCTGTCAGGATTAGTCATGAAGACAAGTTTTTTTTTTATGAAAAAAAAAAAACCTTATGTGCAATTCCCTTACGAAAATTAACCATGGTTTTATTATAGTAAAAGTGTAGTAACCATGTTTTTTTTTTTTTGGCTTATTGATTTCCCCTCAGGGTTATTATTACCCCTCAGAGGACCTCAGATGATGCCAACCCTGAAACAACATACAGAACTACCACATTTTGCTATAAGTTTGATTGCATCATATAATAATTGTTGTTAATAGTGTTCATCGTCTGTTTTATTACGTCTTTAATAGATTTTTCCGTACATTTCTGCAATATGTACATTAACTGACAGTCACCACTGATAAGCTACCACTAATACTGTAGAAACTTAATTTGCTGTAAAGTTGCTTTGCAACGATTTGTATCGTGAAAAGCGCTATACAAATAAACTTGAATTGAATTTCCATTGATATAACCACAGTTTTACTACAGATACCAATGCATGGTTAACCTGTGGCTACCATGGTTTAACCACAGTAACCATGTTTATTTGGTTTTATTTGTAGTAAAACCATGGTTAATTTTCATAAGGCATTGTGCCGTATACAAATGTTTTTATTTGAATGCGATGTATAACTTCTGAAAATAAATAGAATTGAATACAATAGTTTTGTTGTTAATTTTAACCTCTAATATTATGTACCACACGAGTAGTATCAGCTGAGAAATTTAGTATCAGTGCATCTCTAATATATGCATATATATATACATATGTGTCAACTATATGCATTGTATATATATGTATACAATGCATTAACTGTTAACTGGCTAATTGCACTGCTAATATCCAGCAGTGTATGTCTGACAGAAAGAGATGAATCCTCACCACAGGCCTTCGATGATGTCGGCACAGAGCAGCGCGCTTCCCAAACCCTGAACCAGATTGAGCAGGGACAGGATGGCAGCGTACACGTAAAAACTCCTCTTCGCTGCGGCACGAGAACCAGAAACACATTCACATCATCCTGTGAACGATTCCTACTGTACAGTATAAACACTCAAACCCTGCGTGTACTCACATGGCAACGAGATCCTCTCTCTGACTGGAGTCTTAGGTAGGATGACTATCAGGGAATACACCTAAAACAGATTATAACGCGGAATTAAACATTAATAATTAAATACACAAACACAAGGTGGTTTCAAAAGAAAGGAGAAGTATTTAATTAGGCACCAGGAAAAAGAAACAGGAACTGGCCAACCAGAAGTGCCTCCCGCCGTGGCCGTAGATGTTGAAGTCTTTAGCGGAGAGATGTTTGTCCGGGAAACGAATCTCCAGAGTCCCCTGAGAGAGCAAGACACGCTGCATTAAAGCAATAACTCACTAGAAGTGAATTTACCACAGATAAGGGGGTTTTTACACACTTCAGTCAGAGCGGTTTCTGAATTAACATCCAACTCAACAGATGTTTTGTTAAGGATATACATATATATATATATATATATATATATATGGGGTGTAACTTGCATTAATACCCAGCTGACTGAACATTATCATTTTTATATGAAAATAAACAAGCTGAAAACACTCTAACTGAAAAACCTTTAGTGCTTTTCTATAGTATTGAGCCTCAAACGTCAAATATACATTGGATTGGTTATTGTTGTCCATTTAATCAATTGACGCCGAATTGCTGCTAATTCGAAAGTGAAAGTAAAATGCGCACAAGCATTTACAAGCCATTTAAAAGCGAATAAAAGAAAACTATAACGAACTACCTCACCGTCACAACCTGGAGTACATTATATTTCACACACTTTAAGCTCTTTTATTTTCCAAATGTAATAGGATTACTAAAAAGAATCGTTTGGTTTGTAATGCGTACTGAACCGAAAGCCTCGTACCGAACGGTTCAATACGAATACGTGAATCGTTACACCCCTAATATATATATATATATATATATAGCTATTTTTCCCTAATAAATGTATATAGATGTGTAGTAAATGGCTGTTGTGTAACACACCTGTGTGATGGAGTAGGCCAGAGACAGCACCGCAGTGATGGCCAACACACGCTTGATGCTGGACTTGCTCTCCAGATGGCCTGAGCAAACACAATCAGCAAACACCACACTTTAGCAGGAAGTGCAGCACATACTTAAAAAAACACGCTTCGTTTTCATGGGCTCTCACTGCACAGTAAGTTACAATGCAACATGTACATTCACAAAACATGGAAGTCACTGCCACTAGCGTTGCTACTGTTAACTAAAACTACAAAAAAGGTCACACTATTTTAAGGACCAATTCTCACTATTAACTAACTATTAACTATGACATTTGCCTCCATAAACTTCTAATTTGCTGCTTATTAATAGTTAGTAAGGTAGCTGTTAAGTTTAGGTATGGGGTGGACCTAGAATATGGTCATGCAGAATATGTGCTTTATAAGTACTAATAAACAGCTAATATGTTAATAATATGCATGCTAATAAGCAACTAGTTAATAGTGAGAATTGGTCCCTAAACTAAAGTGTCACCAAAAAAATAACTAAACCTAAAAAAAAAAAATGTTTTGTTTTAATATTTTTTATTAATTGATATACAGCTGAAATAAAAATATTAGATTAAAAAAATTAACTTAAAAATGTACAAATTAAAATAAAAAATGTTGGCTTGGCAACTCACTGAAATAAATAAGTTTAAGCACTAAAATTACTCAAACTGAAAAAAAAAAAAAAAAAGCTAAATAGAAATATAAAATAACTAATAAAAATGACAAGCACATAACAAAATTACTAAAACTTAAAATGACAACAAAAAATATAAAAATAAAAGCACACAAAAAAATAAATAAATAAAAGAGTTAACAAAAATAGTTAAGACTGATAATGCAGGAACGTACCAAAAGCCAGTCCGAGTATGATGACGCTGAGCTCAATAGCCAATAAAAAGAACCGAGTAATTTCCCAAAGCACCTGTAAACACACAGAAATCACTGATGATTTACATCACAATTACAGCACAATCCTCTCACTGTGTTCATTTATTACAGCATCAGCAAACCTAACACGAGTCAACACATGAAGTCAGAACAGACTGTATTTACTTTCTTAATTTATGTTCCTGCTCTGATTATGAAGGATTCATCAGTCACATTATTGTAATTAAATAAATGTTTGTTTTATAATCCATCAACATAATATAATAACTTGCTCCACCTCAACTTCTCACCGACTATCACATTTCACTAAATACACTGCTGTTTAAAAGTTTGGCGTCAGTAAGATTTAAATGTTTCTGAAAGAAGTCTCTTCTGCTCACCAAGGCCGCATTTATTTGATCAAAAATACAGTAAAAACAGCAAAATTGTGAAAACTTATTACATTTTAAAATAGATGTTTTCTATGTGAATATCTGTTAAAATGTCATTTATTTCTATGATGCAAAGCTGAATTTTCAGCATCATTACTACAGAAATCATTCTAATATGCTGATTTGCTGCTCAAGAAACATTTCTGATTATTATCAATGTTGAAAACAGTTGTGCTGCTGCATGTTTTATGTGGGAACCGTGATGCGTTTTATTTTTCAGGATTCACAGATGAACAGAAAGCTCAAAAGAACAGCATTTATTTGTAACATTATAAATGTCTTTACTGTCACTTTTGATCAGTTTAATGCATAAAAGTTCTCACAGTATGAACATTTTCTGACTGAAAATTGAGTGTATGTCAAAACACAACAAATAAGTAGCAATCCTGATAGGTCTGGAATGGAATATAATGAAATCACAATATCAAAGCTTAGATAACAGGATAAAAATAGAGGCATTTAGAGTCAATAGAGTCATGTTTTGACCCCAGCACTAGCTGCTGAATATTTAGCCATTTTTATCACGTTCTGTGGCCCTTGTTCATTTCTGACCCTGGATTGAAGTACTCTTTCAGCATTCGTTGATTTTGTACTGAATGGAGAAAATACGAGAGTAGTTGGAAGGGCTAGAAAAGCCTAAAGACATTAAATGTTTGTAAACATGAATATATTTTCAGTGCAAGACAGAGCAAAAGTACAGAACTATGTCCACAAAAGCTCAAATAAAAAAGGGCTTTTTGTTAGTGTCATGAAAAGAATAATGGTTCATGAAAACACCAGGATTAGGATTTTGTTATTAGCTATACAGTACCATAATTAAGTCAAGATTCACAGACGTCACTATGAAGTCCTCATGTGTGTGTTTTCACCTTGTCTATGAGTGTGGCGGCGCTGGATGTGCTGACGGTCATGGAGACGATGGCACGTGTGATTCCTACAGCCGCCACCACGAACACCTGAACGGCACGAGAGAAAGAGTCCGTTACAGCAAACCTGAGCAGCACAGCACAGGTGTGGAGTGACAGAAAGCAGAGGCTCCCACTGAACGCAAACTTACACACTGCAGTTTCTGCTGCTTACCAGGATATAAAAGGCCACGAATATGGGGCTGGAGGTCAGACGGATCTTAGCGCGAGCAGAAGGAAGCTTCCACATCAGGAAGACCAGGAAAGCCACGTTTGGGACGAGCAGCATCACGTCCCAGTAACGAACCCTGACGGAGAAACATAGAGGAACAGTCAAGAATCAGACCAAAACAGAGGCTTTACTGCTGTGACACAGTGTTCATTAAACAGCACAGAAACCAGCCATTTATGACTACAATACTAGACCACACACACACACAGACTCACACACACACAGACACACAGACACACACACACACACAGACACACACAGCACACACAGCACACACACACACACAGCACACACACACACAAAGCACACACACAAGACTGAAGACTGGAGTAATGATGCTGAAAATTCAGCTTTGATCACAGAAATAAATTACATTTTAACAGATATTCACATAGAAAACCATTTTTTCTTCTTTTACTGTATTTTTGATCAAATAAATGCAGCCTTGGTGAGCAGAACAAACTTCTTTCAAAAACATCTTACTGACACTAAACTTCTGAACAGTAGTTTAAAATAAAACATTATTGTAATGAGAATATTATTCTGACTGCCACAGCTCAAGTTTCATAGGAAATATTGTTCTTTTTTGGTGCAAGTTTGAAAATCTTTTCTCTGAAGTTTACTGACAACATTCAACAGACAACCCAAAACAATAGACCTACTGTTTTTCTTTCTAGTTAATTTGCTGATTTATGATTTTAAAAAAAACAAGGAGAGTTGTCATGAAAACCACCAAACATCTGCTGCCACTGAAGACATTCAGTAACACGAAAGTCCTCAAAGGAACACAAAGCCCAGGGGGGGCGTGGCAGTGTCTTAACTTTGATAAAGAATATCTCTTTGGTTTTGAGACTTTAGTCTTTGCAGCTTCAGGGATCTTATCTATGCACAATCAGCTTGTAACACTCCAAAGAGAAAGGAAAACTTGAAATCGCATCATATGACCCCTTTAATAAAATTACAGAGGACAGTCCCGTTTGACAGAGTCGTTACAGCACAGAAACGAAAGCAGAACTGAAAGCTCATGTAAAAAATCCTCCAGCACTAAAATCACATTTCACACGCTTCACACAAGCGTCTACTGTTCCTACACAAGATCATCTGTATCTGAGAGAAACTCTTCAGTATATGAGCTTAGAAACTACATTCAGGCATTGGCAAAGATCCCAGACTTCTTGCATATTTACAGCAACTCCATATATCAGACATGCATGAATGTGCAGTGATATTTCACATATCACATAAAAGCAATAAGCACACGTATGTTTCCTACAGAAGAAACGGCCGTACCTTGAGTGTCCGATGTCGTCGTACAGGATCTGCAGGCATCTGTGTGGTTTGGTGATGTTGTTCTCATGGTCAGGGTTGAATTCAGAGCTGTTGTCCGCGGTGGGAAACACACTGGTATTGGCATAATGGAGCAAACTTCCCCCATCAGTCACAGTCTCCAGCATTCTGGATTAAACCTCTGCTTCAGTTTACATTCATACTTACACATATAACATACAAACTACTATTTGCATGCAAAACACCAATTTCTAGGCGTTAATAATAGATGATTAGATTCACAACTGTGTCATTTTAACACAATGACACAACAGTCCAACATAAAAAAGACTTGTTGCCTTGGCAACTAACTGAAATAAACAAGTTTAAGTACTAAAATGACTAAAACTGAAATGTGAAACATGAACTGAAATAAACAGAAATTAAGGCTAGACTGAAATATAATTAAAAATACTAATAAAAATTACAAAGCACATAGCAATATTACTAAAGTTAAAATGAAAACTGAAAATAAAAAATAAACACTAATTAAAATATGAACAAAAACTGTAACAGTATATGAATAATATTAATATAACAGCCCCAATTTGACAATTTACTGACTGGCTTAAATCAGACATCACAAACATTTTCAAATCAATTTAATAATAAAAAAAATGTTACATTTCGTAAGAGATCGGAATGTTTCGAATTCATGAAATGTAACAAAGTTTCTCCGCGGGAATGAGACACAATAGTTGAACATAAAAAGGACTTTAAAATGTAAAAATTAGAAATGTTGCCTTGGCAGCTAACTGAAATAAATACGTTTAAGTACTAAAATTACTAAAACTGAAATATGAACTTAGAAGTAAAAGTGAAATAAAAAGAAATTAAAGCTAGACTGAAATTTAATTTCAAAACTAATAAAAATTACAAAGCACATAGCAAGTTAAAATGCAAACAAAAAATATAAAAATAAACAATATTAATAAATACTGTAATCGTATATACATAATTGTAAAATAACAGCCTCACTTTGAGTCAGTTTACTAACTGTCTTAAATCAGGTATCACAAACATTTTCAAATCAATTTAATAAAAAAATGTTACATTTCGTAAGAGATCGGAATGTTTCGAATTCATGAAATGTAACAAAGTTTCTCCGCGGGAATATGACGTTACATAACACACTCACAGTCAGTGTGACCAAAAGCAACACACACTGATCCGAACACAAGCATAAAGCGTCAGTGAAGGTGAATCTATCTGTATGTTTTCTGCACGAGTGCGATATGTTTATTTGATCATGTAACGTTATCATATGACACAATTAATTCACACACACCGCACGGATTTATCAGCTGATGAGCCTCAAAAACACCGCTCACCTTTAACTGCTGATGATCTCAGATCAGAGGCTGCTGTGCTTCAGTATTAACGGGATCATAAGTTATTAGCTGAGGCATAATAACTTTCGTCGGTGTTTGTTGTTTACAGACGGGATGAAACTGATGCGTCAGTCGGCGTGAATGCGTCATCGTATCAAAGATGGCGGCCATCTATGCGACATTTCATAATAAAAGACTCAAAGCGACCACTTAATACATGTGTGTACTTTTTATTGCTACTTTTATAGCTTACTCTGCACCGTATCTTTATTTCATTTGCTTTATTTTTTTATTTTAGATTGCACTACTAATATTTAATGATTTGCACGTGTTATTTGTTAAATTACTTATATTTAAATCTTATTTAAAAACATAATTCACATGTGCACATCTATGCTTTAACATTACATAGTTTTGATGATAATAAGTAACACTAAAATTTATATTTATATAATAAAAACGAAAACGACACCGTCTAGGCACCATCTAGACTACACTTCAAAATAAAAGTCTATCCGCCCTTTAGAAGTCGATGAACCCTTCAAAATAAAAGACAAAATTAAAATAAAACAAACCTTAGGGTTTTAAAAAGACAATAAGATACTATATTTATACAGTAAATAATACACTATAATACAATATCTAGAAAAGGGTAGATGCTGTTTATTTAAATTTAGACAGAAACAAGTATTAACAAACATGTTAAAAGAAAAGCACAGCATAGAAACAGAATTAGAATTGTTTTCAATGTAATGTGGTCTTGTATTATTGAAGTTAGACAAATGTCACATTCTCAAAACCTAACACATGAGTTGAGGAACACTGCATATTGATTAAAAAAAAATAATGCAAGTATTAACAAACATGCTATTATTATTATTGAAGTTAAACAAATGTCGAACACGAGTCGAGGAACACTGCATATTGATTAAATAAAATAATGCAAACAGAATGCATGTGACAATCTAGTGCAGCAAGATGCATTGAGCGCGTAAGTGAACATTAATGACGTACTGCATCATAACATCGTGACAACAGGATAAGTATGGATGAATAAGGTCTAAGAAATTATTTTAGCAGTTGGTTGCATAAGGTGAAAGCAATGCAGAAGCAAGTGGGTTTCTCTAGTGGTCAATCACTAGTTTACAGTGATGTGTGCTTTGGGTTGACCAGACATCATCCTTACAGCCAGATACACCGGCTGCGTGAAGCTGACTTTAAAAGTGTGCAGGTGAGTTTTATCCCCACTTAAATCGCTGACGCTGTTAAACACTAAAGTGCCGGTGCTAAAGCTGAGGCGTATCTCCATTCTCTTCAGAGACGGCGTGCGTCTAAGCGGCGTGTCCTTTCCTTTCTCGTACGCCCTCAGAAGGTTATCGCAGTACATGAGGCACCAGGATCCAGCGCTGCTCTCCAGACCGCTTCCAGAACCAGATCTGGGCAGTTCGCCGTAACACACGGCCAGAACCCAAGCACAGCCTTCAGCCTGGAAGTCCCAGAGATGTTCTCCTCGGACGAAGCTCTGGGAGCTCAAAGCCTGGAAGAAACTGGTAAACCTCTGAGATCTGGATGGATACGGCTGTTTGGCCGCGCTAAAAGACACCGTTTTGAGGTCTTCGGACAAGACCAGGTTGGGATGGATGGTTTCAGGGTTGAACGTCACCTCGGATGGGTTGAGAACGACGCGTAGAGCCCGCTGAGCGGATCCGAGTCCGAGACGGAGTTGGGTATTTTGGTGCTCGATCTTCTCACAGACTTTTTTTAAACTGCTGGATAACTCCAGATCGCTGGAGGAGTCCTGCAAAGGCTCCAGGGTCAAGCTGGAGACCTGGTTCTCCACGTCACTAAGACACGCGTCATCCGTCTCGTCCATTAACGTGTTGACTTGAAGTTCGGCCGTTCTCAGTTGCTTCTGGAGGTCTGACAGCATTCGCACTCTTTTCCCAACAGCATCTTCTCTGGGTCTCAACTCGGCCTCCAGAAGCTTCCAAGCAGTCGTGCTGTAGGTCTTCACCAGCTCTGCGATCTCCTCCAATAAGCTGCTCACATCTTTCCTCAGATCCGCGTGTGCCGCTTTAACCGCAGCCTCTCTGGCCTTTTCCTTACTCGCCAGATCATCTACTAGAGCCAGCTTTTCTTGAAGACTAGTTATGACGGGATTCAATCTAGACCTCCGTTCATTGGTTTCAGCGTCCACCAGAGAGCTTTTCCAAGAATCTGTTGATTTGCACACATCAGCGTCTTCTGGAGATGGCCGGTCATTGATTATCTTGTCTTCTGCACTGGACTGAAGTTCACCACTGATGCTGTTGGCTTTGTAGTTCTCTACTATCTGTTTCAGTTTGATGTTTCTCGGCAGGGACTCTGGGCTGAGATGTTCCTGTCCACAAACTGGGCAGCAAAGTGCTTGATCAAATCCAGAAGTGTTGTCCCTCTCTGGTGTCTCCAGACAAACCAGGCAGAAACTGTGAGCACAGGGAAGAGTGACCGGGTCGAGGAGGAGATGGAGACAGATGGGACAGGTGAGCTCTGACTCCAAACAGCCATCAGGAGACCTGTGTGCCATCATGACTGTGCAGTGCAGACAGAGAAAAGCACAGTTACATCAATGCTCCTTTCGCTTTAACGCAAACAGACAAAAAGTCTCCCAATTTTGAGAGAAATATGAAAAAAAAAACAGGCTTTCCTAGAAGCCCATTTCCACCTCATATGGGAAAAAACATGGAGAATTATAATCATGGCATAAAAAGTCAAATTGTGAAATGCTAAGTCATAATAATGAGATTAAAAAGTTGAAAGTTTGAGATAAAAAGCCAATAATAAGTAATAATAATAATAATAAGTCATAATTATGACAAAAGGTCAAAAACTTTTGTCATAATTGTTTTTATGTCATAATTATGAGTTCTTCCTAACAATTTTTACTTTTTATGTCATAACTGAACATTAAAAACATTTTATCTCACAACAATGATTTACCTAAGCATAATTTTTTGGTACATCATGATTTTGAAAATGTCATAATTATGACATAAAAAGTCAAAATTGTGAGATGCTAAGTCATAATAATGAGATAAAAAGTTGCAATTTTTGAGATAAAAAGTCAATTATCACAAAATGTAACTAAGCCATAATTATGAGACAAAGTCAACATTATGAGATAAAAAGTCATAATTATGATATTTTTAAATTACGTCATAATTGTGGAATAAAAATTTTAATTATGACAAAAAATAGAAATTCTGAGAAAAAAATAGAATTATTAGATAAAAAGATGAAATAAGCCATAATTATGACATAAAAGGTCAAAAACTTTTGTCATAATTGTTTTTGTTTTTTCTTACAATTTTGTCATGATTTATATAATGACATTTTATCTCACAACAATGATTTACCTAAGCATCATTTTTTGGTACATCATAATTTTTAAAATGTCATAATTATGACATAAAAATTGTCAAAATTATGAGATGCTAAGTCATAATAATGAGATAAAAAGTCATTATGGCATAAAAAGTTATAATGACAACACAATATTATGAGATAAAGTCATAATTATAAGATAAAAAGTTGAAATTTTGAGATAAAAAGAATCATCACAAAATGATCTAAAGTATGATACTAAGCCATTATTATGAGACAGGAAGTCGAGATTAGATAAAAAGTCATAAATATGACAAAAATAAAAAATTGTGAGATTCTAAGTAATAGTTATTGGATAAATTCGAAATTAGGAAATAAACATTTGAAATTCTGAGATAGTCATAATTATTAAAAATTGTTTAAATTATGACACAAGTCATAACTGACATAAAAGGTCAACAATTTTGTCATAATTGTTTTATGTCACAACTGTTTGTCGACGTTTCATGTCATAACTTTTTTTTTTAATCTCACATCGATTTACATAAGCATGATTCTGAGTTTAATATATTGATAATCGCCCGTCTTGTTGATATGATGCGCTCAAAACAAAAGGATATCTCATTTTAATCTGTAAATAAACATCATTTGTGATCAGAAACTGAAGCGACAGGACGCCAACTAGCGGCGCGTCAGTGCAAGCGAGGCTCGACTTTCACACCTTCCTCGAACAGCCGGCTGCTCAGTGAACCGCTAAGCCTCTCTTTCAAGCTCTAAATCTCAACCCTGCTGTTGTTTACCGCGTGCGGCAGAGCAGCTTTCAGCTCTTTATGTGCAGCCATTTTCCAGCATAAAAACGTGGAAGTCTTACCCAGAATGCACGTCGAGCTGTGTTTAGTTATGATTGCAACGCAATATGATGTTTTCATGTGAATCGAGCCAAACGCGACGCAGAAGCCGTGAGTTTGGTTTTCCTGGCGTCACCGTCGCGCCGCCTCCAGCACCCGGATCGATTCGGTCATTTATGGGTTCAGCTAATGTCACAATATTTCAAAACGGTCGGTTTAATGTGTGTATAATGCACTTACCTGCGCTTTTGCTCCTCACATCGAGATCCACAGCTCGTGATGATCGTGATTGTGTCTGTAATCTGCATTTACAGCCACACACACCTTTATTGAACAAACCCTGCTGCTTCCTGATGCATCTGTAACTCACACACTGTACAAACAAGTGTGAAGATGACGATGAGGATGATTCATCTTTATTTAGTATTTTTATTTTAATCCACACAAGAAAAAATATAATAAAACGGCTCTATTGATATGAAAAACATCCAAAAAAAGTTTAGGAAAATAAATTGCTAATATAAAAAAAATCTTTTTTTTATATTTTATTTTATTATTTAATATTTTATTAATAACATATAAGCAATATATTTTCAACATATTTTTGCCAGTTATTGTCAACATAAAAAAAATACTTTTAATTGTTATACGAGAACTTTTAATTTTAATTGAGGTAGTTGTCATTTAATAATTATTTCTCGTTTATATATTATTTAATAAATAACATTTTATTTAACAAAGCATTTATAACATGTAATTTACATTTAGTCATTTAGCAGACGCTTTTATCCAAAGCAACTTACAAATGAGGACAATAAAAGCAGTCAAAACTAACAAAAGGGCAATAATATATATACAGTATATATGAGTAAAAAGAAAAACAAGTCAAAAGAATAGAAAAAGAACAGAGAATGCTAGTGTTAGAGGGTTATTTTTTATAATAAATAAAAAGAAAATATTAATATTAATAAAATATCTCTTTATTTTGGTCAAAAAGTGTCAGACGTGTACCTAACTAAAAATAACACTGAGTATATAATATTCAATATTTCAGTAATATTATTTGAACAGCGTTGTTGGTTGATATGTCCTTCTTTATGTCAGAACTGCACAACTACTGTACAGATATTAGCATAAAACTAACCAGGATGTTTTTATCAGAGCTCACCGTTTGGATGCATCCTTATTTAAAGTATGCAAGATGCAAGGATTTAATGAAGGAGCAGGTGATGCTTACTTTGGGAAACACCACTAACTATATGAAAGTCCAGTCAAGTGAACTTTAAAGTGTTTTTTTAATTGTTTCAATGTTCTTTTAAATACAACAAATGGAAGACAAATACATACAGATTGTCTTTGTTTTAGCTCAATTTGAATGCTCAAAATAAAGAAAAATACAGTTCAGCTGATAAAACAAACTCACACTCTTACAGTAACCACTCAAAGTAATAGTAAAAATTATTTAAAAGGAACACAAATAATAATAATAATAATTTTTAAAAAACTAGAAACGGTCAAAGGCCATTATTTGGCAGAGAAGTTGAAATGAACATACATTCATGAGAAACCCAGATCAGTGCATGGGCTTATATGAAGGCACACGCGGCGTTCGCACAGTTTAATGCGTTTGTTTTTATCTGTGGGGTCAAAAGAGCTTCTCTGGGCATTTCTGATGAAGAAAGAGATGCTCAGTGTAGTGTTATGCTATTAGCATTGTGTTTGCATAGATTCACAGGGTTGTGTGTGTGTGTGTGTGTCTCCTGGTTTAATGCTACAGCAGGTTTGGCTGTAAATGCACAGACACATTCGGCTCATATAAACATTAGAGGACAACGAGAAGAAATGCTGAGAAAGAGGTATAGCTGAACTCCAGATAGGGTTTGTGTCTAGATCAGGTCAGCGAGGTCCAGCGGAGGCAGCGGCTCTCTCCAGAAGGAGAAATGACTGAACTCGGGACAGTCGAAGGACGTGGTTGGATCTTTACAGATGAAGGGGAAGAAGTGATCCACCAGCTCGCTGAGATGAGAGTATCTGAAACACACACACAGACACACACACACGCACATGCACACACGCACACAGACAGACAGACACAGACAGACAGACAGACACAGACAGACAGACACACACACACACACACGCATACACACAGACAGACACACACACACAGAGACACACGCGCACACACACACACACACACACACACACACATACAGACACACACAGACAGACACACACACACAGACAGACACACACACACAGACACACACACAGACACACACACACACACACACGCGCAAGTCAAACAAAATGACTGCTTTTTTTTATTGTGAATATTATTCACAATAAAATTCACACAGAAGTGAGTAAATGATGACAATCATTTTGGGTGAAATACTCCTTTAAGATACCATTCGGTTGTGTATATGCTGGTAAAAAGTTTGGAATCATTAAGATTTTTAAATGTTTTTGAAAGACGCCTCTTCTGCTCCCCAAAGCTGCATTTATTTGACCAAAAATACAGTAAAACAGTGATACTGTGAAACGTTTTCTATTTGAATATATTTTAAAATTGTAATTTATTCCTGTGATCAAAGCTGAATTTTCGGCAGCTATTACTCCAGAAACATTTCTTATTATTATCAATGTTAAAAAAAAAAGTATTTGCTGAAAAAATATGATACACTATATTTTAAAAGTATGGGGTCAGTAAAAAATAAAAAATAAATTCCATCAAGGATGCATTATGTGTGTGTGTGTGTCTGTTTCTGTGTGTGTGTGTGTGTGTGTGTCTGTCTGTGTGAGTGCGTGTCTGAGTGTGTCTGTGTTTTTGTCTGTGTGTGCGTGAGATGTGACTTACGAGGACTTGTTTCCTTTGGTCTTTTCTTGTATGAGTTCTCCTTTGGGGTTCACAGTGAATATGCGAGTCTCAGGTACACCCACCTCCTTATACGCATATGCATCCTACACACAGGCGCCAAATACAGTCAGGCCTTCCCATCATTTTTGGGAGATGCACATGTTTGTAACACTGAAGGAAAGCTCACATTAGTTCTGTTGCCGAAGGCGGCGTAGAAGGGCTGTGTGACAGGACTGAACAGATCTCTGATATCAGTGAGACAGGCGATCTTAAACACCTCCGGCTTCTTCTCAATCACCTCCCTGAGAACGAACACACACACACACACACACAGACTTACATTAACAGAAGTGGTAGAGATGGCTGTGATCTACATTAATGATCTGTATCTGCTCACCGGTGTAAGGCTGAGAACAGGCTGCTGGGAGCCAGAAGCACTGGCCCTTTTGGTAGAACCGTTCCTTGATCATTTACCCACTGCAAGTAACCCTTAGTGATGTCTGCCATGCCTATAGCTCGAGCCGAACAGTACAGGAACTTATAACCATTCCTGCAAGAGAGGAACCATATCAAAGATTATTCATAAATACACTACTATTCAAACGTTTGGGGTTGGTAGGTTTTTGAATAAAAAGTTCAAAAGAACAGCATTTATTTGAAATAGAAATCTTTTGTAACATTATAAATGTCTTTACTGTCACTTTTGATCAATTTAATGCGTCCTTACTGAAAAAAAAGTATTAACAGGGCAGTCAATAAATCAATTATATAAATTAATATATGCAAATAAATCACATAACATAATTCAAAAACAGCTAAACAGACCCGAACAGAATGGTTGAAAGTTTAAAACTGTTTATGCTCATAGCACAACACTGAAAATAAAATAGCGAGATGTGATGCAACAAAGCAAATGCCAGTTGGACTTTCTCAGCAAATATAGATATGCAATTAATTCCAATCAATGTAATTAATTACATGACATCCCCTAATTTATAGTGCATCTCAGGTGAAAAGCAGGTGAAAAGCACTATATTTGCATTGCTGCCGCTTTAAACTGTTTCTGTATCTGTCAAAACTAAATATTAAAAATTGCACATATTTATAGTGAACAAGAAGTGTTTTATTAAATCAGAAACTTGAGAATTAAAGCGTGTGTGTTTCTTACTGATGTATCTTGTGATATAGTTTGGCAATGCCATGATGAGTCCAGTCTTTCCCCAGCTGAGGTAAAATGTGCCCCAGAGCATCTGACCTGATACAGAGAGAAAGGTGAACAACCATCAGCGTAATGTCAAAGACAGTAACCTAAATCCTGCAAAGATTCAGAGAGACTCACTTAGTGATGGTCCCATCGATGTCTGAGATGATGATTTTGTCGTCGTAGCTCCACAGATAAATGGCAGCTTCACAGCGGCAGGTGCCCTGATACTGTGTGGTCACACTGAACACAACCGTATTAGCTCCTTCACGCAGATTCAGACTCTCCTGCCACACACACACACACACACACACACACAGAGAAAATATCAGAAATTCATTTAAGCCATTGCACATTGAACAGTAACTGTTCAGTAAGAAATGTTCAGGTAGTATTTTCAATAATGCAGCCTATATTTGGGAGTGTTAAGTAATGCAAAAAACTCACTATTGTAATGTAGTAATGAATTCATATTATCTAGCTTCATTATATACATGCAAAATATTATTTAAAATTAATTTTCAATTAATTTTTTTTTTTTTTTTTTGCATTGTGACATTTACATTAATTGTCAACCCAAATGATCATTATTGTAATGCAAAAAACCTAAAAAAAACTATGGCAGCAGTTTCCATGACAGAATAAAAAATAAAAAGGTAATTTAAACTTTTTTTAGCTCAAAATTCTGACTTTTTCCCCCCACAATTTTTGTCTCGCAAAAATGTGAGATAAAAAGTTGCAATTACCTTATTTTTTATTCCGTGGCAGAAACAAGCTATTGTGGATGAAAAAATAATAATTGTGACTTTAATCTCAGAATTTAAAGTTTATATTTCACAATTCTGCATTTGTCTTGCAATTTTGAGTTTATATATCACAATAGTGAGAAAAATAGATATAAATTCAGAAAAGCGAGAAAAACAGTCAGAATTGTGACTTTTTTATTTTTTTATCCCATGGCAGAAACAAGCTTCCATAAAAAACCCTCTCATTACTTTAACACAGTAATAAAAAGAGCATTAATGGTCTTAAAAATAGGGTTTATATTATCTACATGCAACATATTATTTCTTATTTATTTCTTTTGAGGTGAAATTGAATTAGACGTGGAAGCATGTCTAGATAAATTTTCAATTCATGTCCAGACAGTAGGACTTGCTGGTGACTGAACTCTGCGACACACAGATGATGATGATGCTGTTGATGTGACTCTTACGATCTGCTCAGAGGTCAGCCGGAGGGATTTGCGGTACATCTGACTGATGCACTGCGCTGTGTCCATCGCTTCACTGTTCTTCCTCATGGAGACAGAGCCATCCTCATCACTCGAGAGTTCAACAGAACTCCTGCATGCACAGAAACACAAAACAAAAACAGCAAATCATGGATTTACTGGGTCAAAGATCAAATAAGCAATGCACAGTCAGCCAGTAGTCTTGTTAATACTGCCTTTCATCATGTTAAACTGAAGAAAGACTCAGTGTGTCAAAGGTCAAGTGCTCTCTGGATAAGAGAGGAAGCCCATCTGTACATGCTGCTTTCATAATAAGCTTACACAATTATGCAATATTTTAAAAAACTTTGGTTGCATGAGATTTAGTGCAAAGAGAAGGAAGTGCTTTAAAATGTGATGCATTCAATTGAAAGTTTTGATTTAGTTTAGATGGCTCTTATTTGTCCTGTAGTTTTATACTGACACCTGTTAGCGTGAATGCATGACGTTTTTTTCTAGACATTTTTTAATTGAATCTGAACTAATTTTTGTGCACTATGGGTGGTTTGTGCTGGTGCATGGCTTGCAACAAACTAGCATGCAACAATATGCGAGTTAAAACAGATTTGTCAAATATCCTTCTCAATTATTTCTGTCAAAGTTTATAATCAGGAAAAAATACTGAGTGCATCATTTTTTGCATGCATGCAAACACGCATCTTACTTCAGTGAAGATGGTCCAGCGATAGCGGCAGATGCTTCAAGCTGATTCCCCTCTGCGTCAGGCTTTTGACTTCCCTAATATGAGAAAAAAATGAATGTGCAATGCAGCATTAGAGATACTCAGGCGCAGTCATCAGATACTGGGCTTATCAGTCTCTTAAAGGGAAATTGCACAGCAGAGTTGCTCGTTTCATGTCTTAAAACTTATTTCTGTACTGTTAGATTCGGTTTCAGATTGAGTTTTTACCGCAATGTTGTTCAGATCTTTCCTCCTCCAGGAGAACCACCAGCGGCCAGACTTTTTTGGCATCTTATCTTTGACTAGTTGCTCAATGGTGCTCTACGACAGAAAAACAAGTCGTTATCTCTGAATGGTTAGTCAGTGAAGCGGTAATCAAAGATCTCTGACCCCATGTACCTTTGGTAAAGTCTTCTGGAAAGCCTGAACTGACAGAATCATTGGAGCCGCCACAGCCCAGTTATAATACCTGAAACAAATCGACCACAAAGCTAAAACAAGAGCCATATGTGACCCTGGACCACAAAACCAGCCATAAGTGTCAATTTTTTGAAATTGGGATTTATACATCATCTGAAAGTTGAATAAATAAGCTTTCCATTGATGTATGGTTTGTTAGGATCGGACAATATTTGGCCGAGATACAACTATTTGGAAATCTGGAATCTGAGATTTGAGAAATAATTCTCAAAAAAAAAATTGAGAATTCTGAGAAAAAAACTAAATATTGAGAAAATCGCCTTTAAAGTTGTCCAAATGAAGTTCTTAGCAATGCATATTACTAATCAAAAATTAAGTTATAATATATTTACAGTAG